TTTTTGTAGACGCTAATGGCATAGTTGCTATTACCTCATTATTCCAACGCCCGTCTCATGTAGGTTGCGTGGTTAGACCATGAAGTCTGACGATAACACAGGAAACCGGAGGAGAATACATCCGTTGGAGTAAAAATCCACCAAAGTCGGTCGAATGCCCCGACTGGCCGGGGTGTAGAGGAATCGAGGCACTATTGCTCGTTAGACGTGGACGATTTCAATCAGAACATTATCGTGATACTTCGATTTTTTTGTAGAAAGCTAGTCACGCCGCTGGTGACCACAACATACAGTCGTTGATAGCGATCCGTGGCGATTTCAACTGTGATATTAATCGTAGCTAAATACCCTTTGAATGTCGATGAGGCACGATGTTCTCAATCTGTTTTCGAGACTGATACTGCAATTAACCTGGTCATGCATTCATATTTACCGGAATTGATGGCGACCTAATGTCTAGGGTTAGAGTTTGTACACTCTTGGCAAATAAGTTACCCAAGAGTAAGCCCTCAACTTGTAAAGCTAGCCTGCACCCGGCGGTGTAGCTCCCAATCAGTGACGGTAAGAGTAATAGCAAATTTAAGATGAAGCATAAAACATAACACAAGAGTAAGTGGTCGATGGCCGCGATTCTTAAGCAAACGTCTGACTAACGAATAAAAAGGAGATTGCTCCAGAGTTTGGGTTTAGGTATTGCTTCACGGTAATTAAAACTGAACGACCAGAAAACGTTTCGATTCCGTGACACTTCATAAGCGAATTTCGCAAGCCAGTATTGTGTATGAAGTCAGGAATATTTGTGAGTCCGTCAATCAAATTGGACTAGCTTGAGGGCTAATGAACCCAAATGTTCATAAGCCGAATATATTCAATTGTGGTCGGTTTCGCTCCGAGTAATTCATTTCCAAATTAATAACTGCTGATTGCGTTCGTGAATAAGCTGTTTTTTGTTAAAGTGTCAAAGCATAATAATTTTGCTCAAATGTTTCAGTCAACTTAAAAAGTCTAACATTCTGGATTGTATGTGTTTGTCCATTGTCATGTGTGTGATGTTACAGAAAGTGTTGGGTTTGAAGTATCGAAATATTAGAGAGATAGACGTAAAACTAGTGGGGCATATTGATGATGAACGTGAAGAGTAAACAAATAGAGATCGAAGGTTCCATGATAAACGCCCGTGATAAGGAATTGAACGGTTTGTCTCAGTAAGCGGTAAAAGGTGAAAATCGCAAAGTACAATAAGCAGATAAACGTATCATTTCCTGCAGTCAACCAATTACATGCTAACCACCAGGAACATTGTTTAGGAACCCTTCCAAAAAGGGGATATTTCTGACGTCTCTTCTGAACGATCCACTTCTCTCACCATTCCATCTTCGCTTTTTCTGGTTTGTTGTACAAGACCCAAAGGCCACTCATTGCATGGTTTGCTTTCCGTTACCCTCATCACTAAATCTCCCGGTTGAAAGTCCCTTTGTCATTAATACCACTTGGATCTGATTTGATGTAATGGCAAGTATTCCCTCGTCCATCGCTTTCAGAAGCAATTCGCAATATCCTGCACTTCTCGCCATCTACGGTTATAACTGTCTAGCGTGGTTTTCACCTCAGAACTCGAATCGCACCGCCCTATAGTGAGCAACATCTGTGGCGTGAGTGCCTTGCAAGCTTGCGGATCGACTGATTCTGAAACGAGCGGTCTATTATTCATTATCCGTTCAGCGTCTACCAGGGCCGTCAGTAACACATCGTCGATCACCCGTTTTGCACTGAGGAGTGTCGTCAGTATTCTCTTTATTATCTTAAGCAGTCCTTCTTAAACTCCGCCTCTATGGCTGACGTTAGGAGGGTTGAAGTATCATTGTATACCGTCCTTAAGGAGATGATTGTGTATTTTATCCTGAGACCAAGATCGCAAAAAAGACTCAAGCCCGTAGTTCATTGGTCGCACCGACACACTTCGATCCATTATCAATGGATATGTGTTCTCGTTTGCCTCTGCGAGCTATGCACCGGTCCATGGCCATGATGAATGAGTCCGTTGTGTATGCGTGGGCTACCGCTTGATGTGCTGCTCTCATGGTCATGCAGGTGAAGAGACATCCGTGTCATTTCTCCACGGACCGGCCCCGAAATAGTCTAGACCAACCGAGTGGAATGGTGGCAACTGGCTACTCATTCCAGTTATAGGCAATGGAGCCATTAGCTGACACCATGGTTTACCCAGTTGCCCACGGCAGTAAATGCATTGGCCCAGAGCTCTCTTCACTTTGGTTATCCAAAACCGCCTCCTGTATTTCATGCTGAATTTTTGAAAATCCTTCCGAACCCCTAATGATTTATGATGAAATAACTCTATCTGTGTGTTGCTTCTCTATTGAAATTTCTTGATCACAAACACCATACATCTTTATTTATCTGTTCATTCGATGCCCGGCACATTTGAATTTTGCGTGGTTTGAGAACGGGAGCGACTGTTTAGGTCTCTCTGGACATCTTATTTGGCACGCTTCCTTGAGTGCTTTTTGCCGCATATTTGAGGTTCGCTTTATTGTACATTTTGGAGTTGCGGAGACCCGCCATGTATTATATTCACTTACCTTCCCCTTGTATCAGTTGAATCCCAGTGATATTCACCCCACGTGTATGAACACGTGTTTCCACGTCCTTGCCATACGTTCTCTGCATTTCATTCTGTGACTGAGTGTCAGATCAGGTCAGGTCAGGTCAGGTTTCTAGGACGAAGACAGGCTTTCACCTAACGTGCGTCTAGATTCATACACCAGTAGGATTTGGGACTTCCTCTGGTGCTACGACGTGAAATTGTTTTCGTGGGTTATGATGATTCGTTTACCTTCTCTAGATTTGGACAGCTACCCCAGCGAGCAACAATACCAGGGGTTTACTTCAGGTGATGCTGTTTAGAGTTAAGTCAAAAAGGTTTACAGAGGGAGGAAAGGTAAGAATAAGAAACTAACAGTACCATTGTGGAGTCGCACTTTCGTACTCATATTAGAGACCGGCAGTTTGTAGCACATTCAGCACTGGCCAGCAAAGGGAGCATCGTGTCACTTTTTTGTGCGATGTTTGTTTCCTGTATGCTTTCGTGTGCTGCAATGGTGAGTGGTTTGCTTAGATATGTTCGGGTGCATGCTGTATGGTATACAATGTATGAGAGCGTGGTGGGCTTTTCGTGCTCGGTGTGCAGTAGACCTTTTATTTTCTTATAATCATAATCTCTTTGTTCTTTTGTTTGTTTATTTTATTTTTGAATTCTTTATTACAAATTCTTTTAAATTCTTATTTTTGGCCTCTTGAGACCACCCACGAAGGATATGTTCGGTGAGCACTGTTGTCATTTACCTCAATTTGCTCATCACATGAACGTCAATTGGAAACCAACAGGAGTACACCGCTATGGCGTCCCACGCTAACGCTGGCTCCTTACGGTCTGGGCATGGTAGCCACTTTTTTATCTATAGACCACTGATTGTTCAAATTGAGTCAAAAGGCTCTTGCTGTTAGGACATGGTGACCACTCTTTTTAGACCGCGTGATGTTTAGCTGAGGAGGACCGTACAGTTCTCTTTTTGTCCTTGTGGTTACTTTAATGCCTCTATTATGATTTTGGTCTTGGCCCGGCAACGAAAAATGTCCAGTTTGGTGTGCCGGTGAGTAACGTTTTAAGCTAAAGTGGCTCTTGGGTGTTCGTGTGCACTAAGTGAGTGTCCTATCATCAGATTGATACAAATTTATGACATTAACCTCGGAAGTGTGATCCATGTCCCCACAACATCCATCCATTCACATACACACAATCACTTGCATGCTGAACATGATTTCATTTGTAAAACTTGAACATTAATTGCATCACCCACATTCCCCCCTCGTTGTTTTCACATCAAGACCTTATCTGTAATGATATTCATTTGACTGACTGCTCCAAAGTTATCGTGCGACTGGCTGCAAGCGTGGTGATGCAGAAGGCAGGTCTCCACAAAGAAACGTGCAAGTCGTCGGCGGTCAAGATCAAGGAGTGCGGCGAAGGCTGAAAAGTTTCTTAGGTAGAAGCACTGACAGCAGGGACTAGGTAGGTAGATAGGTAGACCAGAATCAATGACTTGTGCGAACCCTTTGACTCAGACGAGCGCAGGAAGGATTTTGGCGGCCGGTGTATTTCATGCTGAATTTTTGAAAATCCTTCCGAACCCATAATGATTTATGGTGAAATAACTCTATCTGTGTGTTGCTTCTCTATTGACATTTCTTGATCACAAACACCATACATCTTTATTTATCTGTTCATTCGATGCCCGGCACATTTGAATTTTGCGTGGTTTGAGAACGGGAGTGACTGTTTAGGTCTCTCTGGACATCTTATTTGGCTCGCTTCCTTGAGTGCTTTTTGCCGCATATTTGAGGTTTGCTTAATTGTACATTTTGTAGTGATTTCGTTAATTCAGTACCGTAGAACATTGCGGATCAATTGTGTTTTTACTTCGGGATTCGTATCGGTTCGGCAACGCGTCACTCAAGTGCGAATCGGTTGACGTACAGTACTCCAATTGAAATCAAACGAGAAAACTATTTCGAAGATGCCCAGAGGAGGAACCAAGGAAACTGGAACCCAACAGGAAGTAACCCGGCAGGTCACTGGGGGGGCTGTGGGTCATTTTTATTCTTTAGAAAATGTTAGATCTGTTAGTCCTGTCAGTGCTGTTTCATGTGTAGATTCANAACTGGACACAATTTACGTGGGGGCTACCCCTGTGCACGTGTCCCTTACGGTCCGTTAGCGAAATCTGATCGTCTGAGAGCGATTCTGCTTGAACTAGACGCACAACACTGTCGCATGCAAGCTGAATCTCCTCTATCGGAAGGCTACTCAGTCGTAGTGACAATTCACCTTTCTTTCCAAACATTACGTTGATATATTGCGTAAAGCCCCTCAACCAAGCTGTTTCTCGTTACAGCTTATAACACTGCAAATGATAAGAAAGTTAATTGACGCTCATCGCGACAGTTGTTTGGTTGATATTCACGGTGAGCTTAAGCTCAATTTGCCCTTCGATTTCTTCAGTGGTGACCAATTCGAGTGGAGACATTTCTTCTAAGCTTCTCAGGGAAGGCGGTCCCCGGAACCACCGTTCCCAGTTCTGGTCGTCCGCCTTCAGACCCCAAGTGCTGTAGTCTTCATGATTAATTGTTGAACTTTCATGCATTATAACCAATCGGATAGCTATTACTGTGCTATAACGAGCTGATCTGTTGTTTATGTAATAAAGCACAATCGTTGAATCAGTTCAGTAGAATATAGACCCCTTTGAAACATCCAACTTCCGGCTTATATTATCACAGTGTAATCGCTATAACGGAGCTAGTCAATTTGCAATATATACATTTTCGGACGATGAACGCAGATTATGAAGGAACACAGTGATACAAATTGTCGGCAAGTGGTTATGAATAAACTGTTTCAGAGATGGATACAGATAAATTGTCTTCTGTGTACAACGAACAATGGGCTTCACCGTTAAAGAATTGTCTGGTTTATGTTATTTATGTTATTTAAGCGTTGGTCGCTTTGATGTGGGACTGACTACATGCCAGACACCTAACCTTAAAACACCTTTTGGTGAGGCAGGGGGTGTGATCCTCAACCTGGTCCGGAATGCGGACGTATGTAGTGAAAGTGGTGGAAACGGCCGCTCCCAACAACCATTGCCGGGGCCAGATTGTCCATTGTGGGTATAGACCCCAAGCCTTCATCAGGCCCACAACATCAAAGTCTGGAATAGAACAGATAATACTCGGCAGTCTGGGGCGTACACCCAGCTGATAAGGGGAGAGGGGGAAAAGGAACTCGGAAAGCAGTGCAAACCTAGCGTCGTGGAAAGTTTAATGTTTACACAGCTGTGAGGTCAATCAGAAATATTTCAGAAACTGGAGCGCACGGCTATAGACAAGAACAGAAAGCGCCTCGGGAGTCGAAATTAAAATCCACTTTGTGAGAGTATACGCTCAACACGTGTACCGTCTATGGGGAGAGATCAGGTCAAGATAGAAATGGAGATCTACAACTAAATAGGGATGGGTTTGCGTGCTGTAGTCTTGAAAGACATTCACCGTGGAATTTGCATTCCACTTCTTGGGCTTTTAAACTCAAGCAGTGTACTGTCTATGAAAAGAGTTAGCTACGGTATTGAGTCCTGACAATAAGTGTTGGTTAAGAAAAGTCCTTGATAGGTGAATGCACAATCAAAGACTATTCTAACCATTTCAGGTTTCTTCAGATTTACCATCGGACGAAGTGGTAGGTACCACCTAGGTCTGTACGCAACTTCTAGTTGATAATCAGGTACGCGGTCGAAATAGCCCTTTCGAAAGTGGTCGTTCAACAAACTATTGTACCTATTAAATAAACTTGGATCCCGCATAAACCTTCGTTTCAGGTATTCTAACCTCCGTATCACTAGCTCGTAGTTGTTCTGCACGGCCTCTGGTTTGGTTTTCCACGTTAATCCGATGCTAAATCGTTTCCCGTCATGGTTCATCGATTCCTCTTTTATTTGTAACGCTCAACTATCTTACTTGGAGTGATGTATGACCATTGCATGCAGGTCCTCAAACTCCTTGTTGTCTAAATTCTCCAAAATGATACTAGTTTCACTCTCCCCGGGTAACGGTAAACATTTAATTACAAGCTGTTACGCTCAAGGACGGTCCCATAATCAACCATCCCAACGCAGTTTCGATCGCAAATAGCTCGTTTGGCCCGCCGTATCAACCATTAATCATCCAATGAGATTGCGGGACATCACAACTAATGATTAACTGAACCCTAGGGTTGGTGAAATGCCCTTTTTCTATACCGTTTAGGTGGGTTAGTTGGGCCGTATGTTTCTTAGCCGGTATCTGAGCTCTTGCCATTAATAGATTGTCAATGATGTATGCAGTGCTTACCTTAATGCCTTTATCATCCCTAAGGGGACTAACTTCGAATGCTACCCTTTGACTAACTATATGTCGTTCTCCAGCCACGGTATGAACGTTCATTCGTACTCCCGGGGCACTTAGCTCTAGCAGTTCGGAAACTTCCTTACTAACTATTATGCTATCCGAACCATTATATAGAAAGGCATATAACTTCAACGATTTGTCGATGTGCATTATTTTTACCGGGACTACTCCGAGGTTAGTAATATCATTCGGCGCAAAACGGGAATGCCCCAAGATTGCTTGCACATTCGCGGACATTTGATCCCTACGCGACAATTGAAGCAGGCTATGATGCTTGCCCGTGCAACCATCAACCAAGCATTTACCATTTTCTTCACATGCCCGCGCCAGGTGTCTATATTTAATGCACTTATAACAAAGCTTTAATTTCTCCGTCACCCCACCACATCCGACTTGAGGAAACCTTCAAATTTAGTAAGTGGGTGTGATTTTCGACACAAAGGGCACTGAAAGTTCTGTAATGATTCCGATGTTTGTCTAGTTGTAGTGACGTTCATAAGCGTGTTACACCGAGAGCCCAGGAGCGATTAACCTCTAGTGAACGCCTTATGCCCACTAGCCTTCCAAAAGGGCTGTTTTCAATCCTTGACTCTGCTTCTATCACTTCAATAAAGTCGATGGACCAGTACAGTCCGCCATTTGATACGACCCTATCCGCCACTTTGGCCCACGTACGTTGTAATCATCCGGGCAATCGTGTACCTAATGACTCCAGCGTGGATATGGAATCCAACTCGGATCCACATCCCATTTCCGTTAGGAGCATGTAGCAGCTTCGCGATTGACTGACTATGAATAACGCCACCATTGCCCTAACCTCTTCTTTTCGAGATTTGGGTTTAAACTATTCCTGTACCTTAAACTTTTCGGAGCATTGTGCCCTCCGGATAAAAAAGGCAAAGTGCACTATTCACCTCTTATTCAGTAACTTTAGCCTTCGGGAGAGTATTATAACCCTATATAAATCGCATGTAAGACCTCTATTAGAATATTCCTCAATTGCATATTCCAGCATGAGGAAACTTGACCGAAAAGCCATTGAAAAAGTCCGGCGTAAATTTACTAAACAAATTTTTGGTTGGTCAACAAACCTAGGCTATATGAAAAGATNCCCCTCTGGCTGCGCCGGATTAGACTAAATCTCACTATATTACATCGTTTCATATACAAAAAGGGGCCCATTCCACGACTAAAATTGATTTTCTGGAAAACTAAAAATACCCATTACGTAACCATGCAAACATACTTCCCACAACCCTCGACAGAACTGCAACACAAAAAAGATTTTTCCTTATTACTTACTCCAGATTATGGAACAAACTGCCAATGGAAGTGCGTAGAAGAGCTCACCGAGCGTAATTTGATCAAGGTTTCAAACTGACAATCCAAACAACGTTCAATACGAATCGCAAGGTCTCGACTCCGACTGACCAAATTTCCCAGCAAGTAGAAAAACAGTCGAACAACAGTTTAAATTTCGTTTCTATTATAGGCGCACATTAATACATATTTGCGACTCACGAAACCGTCGTACGTCCCAGTTACAGAACAACAAACAATTGAGAAAATCACGGGGCAAGACCGCAAACAACTGTTAAATGTTGAGTTCATAAAAGAGAAAGAAGAGATAAGAAAAGGAAGGTAATGGAGTTCGAAAATTATTGTTTACAAAAGCTTTCGAAAGCCGTTACAGTTACAACAAACCCATTGAAGCTCCGCGTTATCTAGGCACAGTCGGTAAGCAATGGGGGTAAACTCACTGCAGGCACGAGGAAATCGCTGGTCGCAGGTGTTGCAGGAGATCCCATTTTTCACGGCCTTGGAACACTTCCTCCACCTCCTGCTGAGACTCAAGGGTGATCCTAAAGAGATGTGACAAGCCANCAAGCCATTCTCACCAATTTTGGGGAGTGCGGTGGAGAAAGGTTGCACGAGTTAAAGTAAGAGGTGACCTATAGCGAATGAAAAAGAAAAGCCTGTTGGGTCGCTGGCCAGCAGAACGAAAACAGAACATGTGGAAACGGTTTACTTTGAATAATTTGAATAGATCGTCACAGAATGCTAAGTAACTCCTTGGGCTCACTGTTAATTCACCTCAATCCTGCGGGGAGCGTGAATGTACGTGTATCGTCGATGCTCCTGTCGGAAGGACTCCCGATTTATCCTGTGTTTGAAATAGTTGCCTGCTGCGGTTGACTTGAATACAGAGAACCTCTCAAGATAAGTTCGATGCTAATCAGGAAAGATCCACCTAATTCGATTGATCTTCCTCGCTCCGAAATTCGAACCGCTCGTCCAGATCAACGCTCTTGCCAATTGAGCGTCCAGTTCGTTGTGTTGTCGGCGGATGGCAGTAGCTTCCAACATTGCGTACAGTGTCTGTGGTCCTCTCAATTTAGCCCAGTTGCCAGAACGTTGACTCCTTGGGGGTATGCTGAAAGGGAGGAAAGCAAGCAAGGATATCTCCTTGCCTTATTTGGTAGAGGCCTCAAGTACACATGCGTTCGTATACACAGATCAGATGTGACAGGACAGTCAGTTTTAGAATAATTCTAACACTCAAGCTCAGGTTTACTGTATTTCACAAAATTCCGGCTACGGTAGAATTTATTTCTTATGTTTTCACTCTAAATACTAACTTCAGGGAACGTTGCTGGCCAACATGCGTCCAGGGTCACCTTGAAGACTTTACCATTGGCGCAGTTGACCACTTCTGGGGATAACGGTAGTGGCGAGGCATCGAAACTATTAGGATTTCTAAAAGCGACCTATTTTAAAATGTATTATAGAAAAAGCGATGTCGAATTGAGCCCAAATGGAACAGCTTTTGCTTTTGACTGATTATGAGTGATTTTTTGAAATTAAATATGTTTTAATTAACCTTAATTGACATTGTCCAGAAAGTATAAATATCGCAACCTAATTCCAACGACCACTTCCACGCTCGTACCTACGAAACGATCGTAAAAATTGCTATGGATTGCTGGACGGAATCTTGGATGAATTCCGTGAATAGCAAAGGGTGACTTACAATTTGCAAGAAAGTTCGGTCGGAAACTGACTCTATCTGAGGGTTTTCCATACTATTCCATCAAATATTGCTGTGTATATCACAGAAGGCACGGCGCAACTGCAACCAGGTAATTATGCCTCTCATTTCTAATGTATTTAACACATTTTTGGCTGCGAAATATCGATTGTCCGGCATTCGTTGGAATTCGCGCGGTCGGGAGGGAGTACCGAATAATGAAACGTTGTCTGGTGCACAACCATGACTTCCATGTGGGTCAGCGGGGTCTGTATATAAGTAATCGTCGTCTATCTGGGAATAGAAAGAGGAAGTGTGTACTTTGATGGAAAATTGTAGAAGTACTCGCGAGCTGAGGGATTTCGTGGCACACAGGTTTCAGAGACCCTTAACTACGGTAGATATTAGATCCATACGTCGAAGAAGGTCTCAGTCAGATTCATGTGGCGATGCGGTGAAAGTTAAGGATATGCCCTACTGGACAGGGCTAATCAACCTATGTCGAGTAATGTGCTCACAGAGAGCATTCCTAACAATGGATTTTAAACCCTTTCACAGCACGCTGGTCAAACTTACCGGTCTGTAATTACTAGGTTGCTTCCTATATCCACTCTCGTGGATCGATATCACTGTGGCAGTCGTCAAATCTCTGGATACACTCCCAGAGGTCTGATGACGGCACGGTGAAGCCCGTCGCTGCAAGCAGACTTGTTTACATTCAACGTCTCCAGGACCTTAAGAACACTGCTAGCTGAGACTTCCATTTCGACAATTGGAGGGGTCGTTGAAAACTCTCGCGTGANNNTTATAGACATCTTGAAAACACCTCCTGAGCGTCTCAAATTTTTCCTAATCTGAGACACAAAACTCACCTCGAGGCTGCTCCACAGTGCCTACCGAATGTCTTAGTGCAGCTTTCGATTGCACATAGCCATGGTACCCTTTAACAACAACGCACGCAGTATTGCCGACCATAAACCCGATGGTTATTTTACCTGCTTAAGTGTTGTAACGATCAAAGCGCCATCGTCCTGGTCTGAGCAAAACGATAAGGACCTCGTCTGTACGCGTTCAATCAAATGACCCTCCGCCCGTTCTGGATAGCGATAAACAAATCTCAGAGCAACCCGTAGCCCAAATTATCCACAACCAAGTCCATCAAAAAATTACCTACGGTAATCTACGGCAGTCATACCTCTGATAGCGAGCCTGATCCACTATCCAAGCATAATGTTACAAGCATTCACAGAAAATATCTGCGGAAATAAAAGGTAAATAAGAAAATGAGTGATTTGAATTACCTTTCAGATAATTCTGGACCACTAGGAAAATTCTGCACGCTTCAACAGATCAAGCAAAATAATCATGAGTGTTAAAGCCAAAAGGGGTTAGATAGAACCGAAAGCAACGGTTGGTCCAACAAAGAGATTCCGATCGAAACTTTGGTTGCAACAAAACAAGAAGAAGCACCGAATCCCATTTACATATAAGAGCAAAGCATTTGAAGTGTGTCCATTCACCGTGAAAAAGCTGTAACAGTCAAAATATCTGAAAATGCCTCTCAATTAACTTGCATTACTTTATCTATCTTTGCCACTCTGCCGTGCATCCTTTTTAACAGCGGTTTTCATGTCGTTGAATACTCTCTTCTGGACCATCTATTTCACCTTTATCACGGTGAAGTATATCTATTGGACACACTGTATGTACAAATCGGTGAGGGTCACTACGGAAAAACTAGACTTCGGACCAATAATGTCAGCCTGGGATTAATTAACCAGAAGTTCCAGTATTCTAGAGGTAATAGGAGTGTGTTTAATCGGGCGATAATCAGATGGGTCATTAAGTGGGCCTTTTCATGTATGGGGATGATAAGCGCCAGCTTCCATTGAGATGGAAAGATGACAAAGTTCAAGGACAGGCTGAACAAATTTAATAATAAAGCCGTGATATCAGTTCCATCGTAACGAAGCAGTGATGGTGGAATGCCATCATTCCTAGGGCGTGAGGATGGTTTCACTTTCACAAGTAGTTGGGTCACTTCTTTAAGGGTAAAATCNGCGAGAATGTGGTCAGTGTAAGGTGGAATGTCGGGGGTGCTTATGACAGTATCGGTGGTCATAGAATAATGATTTATGCAAATCCATCAAACATGGGACTCCATTCTTATTTGCTGATGACATCAAAATCGCATACTCGTTTCCACCAAATAAAGTAACTCATGTCATTGATAAAATTCGAATTGATCTTCTAGCACTAGATCGCTGGTGCTCCGAATGGTCGATGAGCTTCTTGACCAAAAAGAGTAAAATCCTTTCCTTTAGATGCCAACTCCCTCCTGGAGTTCTAACTATAAACAACGCTACTATTGCTCATACCTC